GAGCTACCACTATTGCAGTAGCTGGCAGGGAAAGAAGAACCGAAGCTGGGGGCAGGAATCTTGGAGGGTCACTGATCAGGGGAGGGCCAAGCTGCCATTGCCAGGGCGTGAGATGGATTTGCGCGAAACAGGACAGGATGTTCCTTCCTTTGCAAAAAGCCAAGGGATATGGAAAAGGATTGCCACTGCCATGTCATATGCTTAGTCTGCTGCACTTTTTCCTCCTAATCCCTAGATATTCACAAGGACGTGATCTTGAGGGGTAATTTTGTTTGGTGTTTATCGATCCCTCGATAAAACTTGTGATGCTTGCGGCATAAATGATGGCCAAAGCACAAAATTCCTAACAAACACCTCAAACAGTGTCTTATGCTCATAATAAGATTTATAACATGAAGGCATCTAAGTATAGACTATCATGAAACAAATTGAGACTACTAGAATTCATGGCACTACTACACAAAACTTCTTTAGGGGCGGTTAAATTGGGTTTTCAGGGGCGGTTTGCCCAACCGCAACTATGAAACCGATTGTAAAGATGAGGCGTCTCTAGCGACGGGCTTTTAACTGCTCCTGAAAAATCCATTTCTAGAGGCGGTTCCGTTAAAAAATCTACCCCTGAAAATACAATTTTCAGGGACGGCTATAGTAGAAAAAACACCCCTAAAATGCATTTTCAGGGGCAGTTCAAATACATGAACCGCCACTGAAAATGGATTATCAGGAGCAGTTCAAATACGAGAACGCCCCTGTAAATGAATTTTCAGGGGCGGCTACTGCAATACAACCGTCCTAGAATTCATGGCATTGTTTCCTCGTGGGCCACACGTTTAGTTTATCAAAAATATGATTGCGAGAGATCGACAACCATGTGACATGTGAGCTCGTGACATTTGCTTCCGTGCCGTCCTCCTTGTGACCATCACCATACGCGTGTGACGATTCTTGACTAAACAAGTCTTTTCTTTTTTTTCATTATATATACAAATCTGACAGAATTACATCACAACAAAACTTACTAATTAAAAAATAGTGATGTTTGGCTCCATATTTCCCTTGCATATCAGAACCAAACTAGTTACATTCACGAAGATACTAAAGGGAGTTCTTAATTTTCAATGGGGCCTTTAGCTTCCAGATCAATTTGTTTAATAAGTTGACTACCTCTAAACAAAATAGAGCTTCTAAATCAATTTTTGTTCCATAAATTATATGAACAATGTCAGAGTATCAATTGGAGTTGTTTTTTTATTAAAAAAACAACTAGGAGTAGCAAAACAAAGTTGTGGTCGATGATGTTACCAGCTGAGCAAGTTATTAGGATGTACGTACATCAGCTAAGTACGTTTAACTCGGCCAAACAATGAAGAAACATCACTTCTGAATGTTTATAGCGTGACGGCAGGTTGCCATCGCATGATTTTGTTGCGTACAACCTTCAAATTCACATGGACGAGGAGGAGCGAACAGGGAGCGGCTCATGCCGAGTATGGTGGGGGAGGCGAGCAGAGGCAACGGACAGGCTAAGCTTATTTGGCACGGTTAAATGCTATTCTGACTTTTTGTATCGGCTCCTAATTTATATTTTTTAAAAATTACACTATGTACCTAAAGGAGCTAGAGTTGAGGTCGGTTCAGAGATCCACCAAAAAGACTTACGCAACCACCTGAACAACCCGCGAGAGCCGCGTGAGGTGGTCTAAATGGCTAATTCCTTCCGCACCAGGCAACTGACCACTAACTACAGAATCAAGAGCCCGTGTGTCTTCCCTGGGGAAAAAGACGACCCGTACGTGCCGCGCGAACGTGAACAGTGCGGCTAAGCCGGTGCTTATCCGGGTGCCCACCGTCGTCCCGTCCCCGCGTCCGTGCGGCGGCAAGGCAGCCTCGCTCGGTCACGGTCAAAAAACTCGGCAGGCGGCCAGGTCTCGCCTCGCAAATCCCGACCGTACCGAGTACCGTATGCCGCCACCAGGACGACGTAACGCAACTACGCAAGGTCCGCACGCACTCGCCCCGTGTGGCCGTGCCCCGCTCTACTCCTGCATGCAGCAGGCTGCAGCCGCTTCCCGGGCTCGATCGGCCGTTGGGCTCTCGATCAGAAAGCGAGCGAGCGAGCGAGTCGGTCCGGTCCAGTCCCGTCCCGTCCACATCTTCCACGCGCAGCACGCTTAATAAATAAATCAACTGGAACCATGCGATGGGCACGTCTGCACGATCCAGCTGGGATGTTCCCATCACTGCTGCAGTAGCTGGCAGGGAAAGAAGAACCGAAGCTGGGCAGGAATCTCTGATCAGGGCCAAAAGCTGCCACTGCAAGGGGCCCGGGCGTGAGATGGATTTGTGCGAAACAGGACAGGATGTTCCTTTCTTTGCAAATGGATATCGAAAAGGATTGCCACTGCCATGTCACTCACATGCTTAATCTGCTGCACTTTTTCCCCCTACTAGATATTCACAAGGATTTGATCTTGTTGGGTAATCTTGTTTGGTGTTCATCGATCCGTCGATAAAACTTTGTGATGCTCCTAATAAGATTTATAACATAAAGGCAACCAGGCCCTATATAGATAATACATAATAGACTAGCTAATTATTAGCTAGACCTTTAGATAACAACTATTTCACTGTCTAGGTCAAATTAGATAATGAGATATTAGCCAGCTACCTATTGTCAGTAATGAATCCAAACAAAGCCTAAGTATAGAATATCATGAAACAAATTGACTACTGCAATTCATGGCATGGTTTCCTCGTGGGCCACACGTTCAGTTTATTAAAAATGAGTGCGAGAGATCAACGAGCACGTGACATGTGAGCTCATGACATTTGCTTCCGTGCCACTCTCCTGTTTATGAGTGTGATGGTTTTTGACTAAACAAGTCTTTTCTTTTCTTTTCATTATATATATATATATATATATATATATATATATAGACACACACACAAATCTGACAGGATTACAGCACAACAAAACTTATTAAAAAATAGTGATGTTTGGCTCCATATTTTCTCTTGCATATCAGAATCAAACTAGTTACATTAGCGAAGATACTAAAGGGAGTTCTTAATTTTCAATGTGGCCTTTAGCTTCCAGATCAATTTGTTTAAGTTGAGTACCTCTAAACAAAATAGAGCTTCTAAATCAATTCTTTGTTCCATAAATTATTTATGAACAATGTCAGAGTAGTATCAATTGGAGTTGTTTTTTTATTAAAAAACCCCAACTAGGTGTAGCAAAACAAAGTTTTGGTCGATGATCGATGTTACCAGAGCAAGTTATTAGGATGTACATCAGCTAAGTACGTTTAACTCGGCCAAACAAAATGAAGAAACGTCACTGTCTGAATGTTTATAGCGTGACGGCAGGTTGCCATCGCATGATTTCGTTGCGTACAACCTTCAAATTTACTGTAAACTTGTAATGGAAGGGTCAACCACCTACATTAATTAATTTGTGTGAACGAGGATTATGTGAGATCAGTGGTGTTTTCATCTTTTTAATAACAATTTGCTCATAGATATACATGCATATCCAAGTATACATCGGATCCTTTATTATGAGCATCTATGTAATAATATAAACATCCTATTTTTCATTTTTCTGCTTTTTATAGGGTCCTCTCAACACTTATGAATCGTTGGCTCCGTGTGCAAGCCCTTGTCAACTCATGCACTAATCCAGTTTTGATACTAGCACTACATCATAAGTTAACGTGAGGTTGAAAAAAAAAACCTATGTGCCTTTCTCAATTCTATGGTTTTATATACTCTTAGATGTTTAAATCACTTAAATTAAATCACTCAAAGCAAAAAAGAAATAAAAGATGTGAGGGCTGATGCACTAGATTTATGAAGCAAATCAACCAAACAGAGTCGATGTGACCATTATTAGCAATTCATATAAATATGTGTCTACATGCGTGCCTTTAGAATCAAGAAATCCACTTCTCCATGGGAATAAAAAAAAATTGTGGCCCCACAAGAACCAACCAAAAACTGAGATTCGGCCATAGGAGTAGTTGAGTAGGAGCACTGCCATCGGCCTGTTCGCTTGCTCGTAAATGATCGTAAATTTCCAGTCGAGAACAGTGTTTTTCTCTCACACCAAATCAGCCAAAAGTAAATAATCCACGATACGATACGGCCTCCCGAAGAAGCTGCATAATTTTCAGAGGGACTTTTATTTAGAGCGTTTTCCACCACTTGGAAATCCTTTGGAGAAGCGGCTAGAATTGAAGGGTTTTCTTTCAAATTCTACCAGAATCCGCGAGATTGGTAAAACTTTGACTACAGTAGGCAATCAACTAGCTGCACGGTTATCCACGTCACACCGAAATGAGCCAACCAATAAAGAATACCCGCAATTATCCTCTAGGAGAAAAAAAGACGGTATGCCCATGCCCCTGGGCCCTGCACTATGGGCGTGATTGGTTGCTTCGGTGAAGAAGAGTCCGGATGGAGAGCCGGTCTAGAATGGTGAAATGCATGTTTAAATTGTGTATTCACTCGTGTTTGGTTGTCTTCGTTGTTGGTCCAGTATAAGATGACTTCTTGTTTGGTTGTATGCATGGATGTGAGTTTTGAGTGTATGACACATGGGTCTCTGTGCTATGCCTGAATCAAGCCATCTTGTATAGAGAGGGAAGTGGAAATTGAGAAGATAAAATCGTGTGAAATGAATAAGGGTAGATAAATAAAAGAATACAGACCAAAGATATGAGAAGAGTAATCAAACACGCCGCATAAATAAGATACACGCCGCATGAATAAGATCGGACGTCTAAACGGTGCGGGGAGGGACGACCCGGTTCGGGGCCCTATATCAACAGCGCCCATGTTCCCTAGCTTCAATCCTTCGTCTCCAGCTCCGCCTCGCTGTCTTCCTTTCCGCCAGGCAACTAAAAAAGCCACCAGGCAACGAGAAAACGCAACGCGAAGCAAACCATTTCGGCGTCCCCATCCCCCCTCCGAGACTCCAGGCAGACAGGGACGGCGGGATGAGGCCGGCGGCGACGGCGGCGGCGGACGCGCACCAGTCGCGGCTGCTCTACGAGCTCTGCGCGCTCCTCCTCACCGTCCTCCGGGCGTCGCCGGGCGACGGGGTGGTGGCGCGGCCGCTGCTGCCGCGGCAGGTGACGCCCGCCGGGGTGGCGTCCATGCTGCTGGGCGCGTCCATGGCGCTGATGCTCTGCGGCTCCGTCACCTTCATGCTCGGCTTCTTGCTCATGCCCTGGGTCGTCGGCCTCGGCTTCCTCTTCCTCTTCGTCGGCTTCGTCACCAACCTCTCCGGGATCTGGAGGGCCATCCTCCTCTGGCCCTCCGCCTCGGACTCGCCCAAGGAGGCATCCTCCCCATGTACGTGATCTCGCCGATTTACATGTTTGGGGATGAAACGAAACGATCCCCCTTGGTCCCTTCTCTTGTATGATTGGTGTGCTCAATATCCGAATTCCGTGTGAATTCGACGTGATTCGTGATGAATACGAGAGTTAATCGATTTCATTTACTCTGATCGGGGTTAGTTGCACCAAATTTGGCATTCTTCGCTTAGATTTTCAAGGACCTAATAAGTTCCTTGGGCGCTTGAAATTGTTGTGAACGTTAAAGGTAGAATAGATTATTGCTGCAAGTTAGGAATAGAGTTCGGGCGATTTTAGTTCAAGAGGGCATCAAATCGTGGCTATTTGATTTCCAGACAATGTGAACAGACTCCAGGAATTAGTTGGAAAAGTGCTATACCTCACTTTTTATATTTCTATATCGCTTGGCTAACAAAACTAGCTTAGGATTTAAGTGCCCGGCACCACCCAGCCCAGGGAAAAGGGGGAAAAGGGTTCAGGAAGTGATGGGTGCTGCCTGTTGCTGCAAGCTAGTGCAAGTTCATTCAGAGTGTAATTTAGACGTCTAGTTCTGTAAGTTAGATCTGGAAAGATTGTGATAACTGTGGTTGACGAGATATGAGGGTGGAAAACAGTGTGGTTGTGTCACCTACAAATGGAACTGAAGGAGAGAGAAGTAAAGAATATGCATGTGAAAAGTCAAAAAGGTGAAAACAGATTATCTGCTTGCTTAGTGCTTGTTAAATTCTAGACCAAGGGGGAAAACCAGCCCTGTTCGCTTGGCTGATGGGATCATGGGAGACAGGGATGGCAATTTAAGAAAAGTGCTTGCAATGAAGACAATATTAGGATTCATGATTTTGCAGAACAAGAGCTTTCCTAGACTCTAAGCTAAAGAGCAGAAAAACAACAAACAAGCTTCCTTATATTCCAATGGGGACAGAATATTAGAGATAAAGACTGACATGACTGTACAGTTTAACCTCAGTGTCATCGCCAGCCTCGATTATCTCTAGACTAGAAAAACTATATTTAAGTAAGCAAGTGAAAAGTCTATAGTCTATTTTTTTTCTTTCTATTCTATACAAAGCAGTTAGATTAACCGTGTGTTCATGAACTGGTACTAGTACTACCATCTAGAATGACTCCACATCGGCGAACTTCCATTGTCTTTATTCCTTTAGTGTCAATCCTACGTCGTTATCATTGTACATACCTGTTTCACTTGTTTGGCTGTCCAACACAACACTGTAATATTGTAATATGACCTTTCGGTTGTTTACTTCTTATTACAGGGCATATATTTTCCAAGCCTTCATTCTTGTCGATGTGAAGCCAACTACAAAGTAAGGCTCCCACGGAGGTGTATAGAAGCAGGGGAGTTTGAGCAGACTGTTGTCGTTGCCAACCTATATTTTCCTTCCTGGACAATCTCTTTTACCATGTAACACCGCAGTAAGTTTGAAATGGTTTTATGCTGTGACTAGGAGGATACTTGTTTGTACATACGGAAAAAGATGATCTGGTCTAAACATCACGTGGAGCTTATAATTGTTTCAGAAATGTTGTTCCTTGGTTAAAAAAAGAAGAAGAAATCCCATACGTTTTCCTTTTCATCGGTGAGCTTGTGTCGTCTCACCAGTATTGCTGTTCCACTGGGTCTCTCACCTGACTGTGCTGTTATGCTCCAACTTCGCTTATGTTTTGACTTTGAGAGGAGTGGATGTATGTAATCTCCGTTTCTTGTAAAATTAAAGTGCCACTAACAGTTGACTCTGTATGCCTTGTGTACTCGAGCCCTAAATTGAAAATTGAGAAGATAAGGTTCTTTCCTCACCGGTCTTGACAGAAATCGTACTGCGTGAGCTTTCACCATAAACATCTCTAATCCCAAATATCGCCTGTCCAAAACCAGCAAGTACAACAGATCTTGAAGAAAGTTCTCTCTTGAGTTCTACCTGAGCACCATAAGGCTATCGGGCACGCAGGCTGCTACGGATAACCGCCCATAATGGGAGCGTTGGGGTAGGGCCACTTGACAGCGTTCGCCCGTGCTCCCATGTCCCAGACCTGCTAGAACAGGAAAGCCACAAAGCGCCACGAAAGAAACGATTGGGTGTTGGGTCAAAAGATTGATATGGCTACGGAAGCAAGAGGAGGGCAACCTGGTGAAGCAACGCCCTGCCACACGAAAGCTCTACGCTAGTCCCCGTCAAGCAACAAGCAAGTGACACCCCGGGTGCCAAATCCGTGGCTCCGTGTCTCGTTGGTCCTGCTGCTCCGCAACAACGGGCGACGGTTTTAGCTTGGCCGCGTACGAGTGTGACTGAGAAAAGGAACGCAAGGCAAGGGAGAAGTCCACAGGCGGGCAGATTTGTTTCGTATATTCATTCGTATATAGATACGAAAATCAGGCGCATTCGGCATGTGATGTGATACGGAGATTCAGAACAAAGAAGATTCTGTAGTCCATAGAATCCCAAAAGTCAAAACGGAACGTTTTCAAAGTCTGAAGTGATGAAGAAAATAGAAACGCCACTCCAGATACAAAGGACTCAGCAACGCATCCTAACAGCAACAGGAATAACTCTGATATAAAACTTGCTGGTAATGTTCAACATAAACCTGACATGGCTGCCAGAGTTTATAACCAACAAGAGTATATAACCAACTGAACAACAACAATAACAACAAAGTCTATCAGTTCCAAGTTAGATAGGCTAAAGTTGAAACCCATCGAGAGCCCCTAGTCACGGTTCAGGCACTTCAATAGCTGCTTTCCAAGCACTCCTATTGAAACATGCATCGCTAGGTATATCCCAAGCTTTCTAATATCTTTTTATTGCCTCTCCCTATGGATAAAAACGGTACGGATATTTATTCGACCGTCCGTTCGACCGAACAAATATGAACACTTATCTGGATAGTTACTCGGATATCCGTAATTTTTTTCGGATACGGATAATAAAACGGATATCTTAGGCGGATATCAAATACGGATGCAATATCATCGATATCCGGCGGATATCGGATAATCCGGTTAAGTATCGGATATATCCGGATATTTTCAAACAGATATTATCCGGATATTATTCAAACGACCTTGGATGGAGAAATGATCAAAATAAAAATTGTAGATCTCAAAAAGTTATGAAACTTTGTTGTTTACAACTTTTTCGTTTGAAATCATTTAGTGCTTCAAAATTTAAACCGTCCAAACTTTCTCAAATGGAAAACTAGTTTATAGGCGTCAAAATTTAAAAATCACAAATTTGAACCATCCAAACTATCTCAAATGGAAAGTTGACCAAAACAACAATTGTAGATCTTGATGAGTTGAACAAACTTAGTATTCAAAACTTTCAATTTGAAGTCATTTAGAGTTCATAATACTAGAGTCAAAGTATTGTTTTTTCATTTGACCAAATTTGACTTGGTCAAACTTGCTCAAATGAGACACTAAATGACCTCAGATGAAAAAACTCTGAATACCAAGTTTGATCATCTCAGCAAGATATACAATTGTTACATAGCTTATTTTCCCATTTGAGAAAGTTTTATCAAACACTAGTCACAAATTCTTGAATCTCATATAGACTTTCTGAAACTATGTCACACACTTGTGAAATTTGAACTACATTTTGTTCAAACTTTCTCAAATGAAAAAATATCCTATATAAGGATTGTAGATCTTGATGAGCTGAACAAACTTGGTATTCAAAACTTTTCAATTTGAGACAATCTAGGGTTCCGAAAACTAGTTTGTAAGCATCGAAATTTAAAAATCACAAATTTGAACCGCCCAAACTATCTCAAATGGAAAATTGACCAAAACAAGAATTGTTGATCTTGATGAGTTGAACAAACTTGGTATTCAAAACTTTTCAATTTGAAGTCATTTAGAGTTCATAATACTAGAGTCAAAGTGTTATTTTTTCATTTGACCAAATTTGACTTGGTCAAACTTGCTCAAATGAGACACTAAATGACCTCAGATGAAAAAACTCTGAATACCAAGTTTGATCATCTCAGCAAGATCTACAATTGTTACATAGATCATTTTCCCATTTGAGAAAGTTTTATCAAACACTAGTCACAAATTCTTGAATCTCATATAGACTTTCTAAAACTATGTCACACACTTGTGAAATTTGAACTACATTTTGTTCAAACTTTCTCAAATGAAAAAATGGCCTATATAAGGATTGTAGATCTTGAATCCATGACCATGACTCCATGAGACCCATGAAGCCATGAGCTTGGCTATTTCTACTCATGCCGCGAAGATTGGTGCTTATATGATGTTTGATGTATGATGTATCTATATCTTTATCTTATTTGTTGCTTTACTCTTTAGTCTTTCGGCTTAATCTAGATGGATTATGGACTCATAGAGTGGTGTAATGGTTTGCGCACGTATGATATATATATATGCTGCTTTTACTCAATATCCGAATAGATATTTGTATCCGACCTTCTCCGAATCCGATTCATACCGTATTCGATACTCATTATTCGTATCCGTAACCGAGGCAATCCGTATTCGTATATGTATCCGAACGCTATCCGTGTCCGAATCCGAATCCGAACAGAAATATGAAAACAAATATAATATGAGTGATATCCGTTCGTATCCGATCCGTTTTCATCCCTACCTCTCCCATGTCAATTTCGACATACCTCTACCTCTCCTCACGTTATTAGCTTCGCTTAGGACCCCACAATGCACTGGTATCTCTGAATGTCTCATTTGAACATGGCCTAACCACCTTAACCGATGTTGGAGAAGCATTTCTTCAATTGGTGCTACCCCTAAGCGGTTACTAATATCATCGTTCCTAGCTCGGTCAAGTATATAACCAACAGAAGGCAAGGAGAATGACATTCTGCTCCATATTGGAACCCAAAACTCCTTGCAATAGATGACTCAATCACTGAAACTAAAGCAGCATAAAGTTTACATCATTCGACACAATAATAAACTACATTGTTTCCGGAAAAAAAGACACTATCGGACTGCCATGGCAGACAGAAAGTCTTGATGTCTTTAGCCATAGTTCAGGCGGAACATGTCGTTCTGCACGTAGAAATTCCCAGGTCCTACTGGCATCAAATGGAACATCTGCACAGACAGCACGTTATGTTGTCACAAATTTTGTTCGTGCATGTGAATCAATAGAAGTAAATAGAGACGAAATGAAAAACCCTACACTTCAAGTAAGTAGACCATAACAGATGTAATCAGTATTAACATAACATTCTGTACAGCTTAACACAATAAAAAAACTGAAAGCACTCCCCGTTTGGATTCAATGGAGTTGATCTATGGAACACAAGCAACAAAAAAAAAAGAACTACTGACACAGTTCATTGAAACACAGCCATAAAGTAAAGCCCAAGCAGTCCACACATTGCAGGCAGTATAGGATAACAAAGAGAATCCACATAATGATACAATAGAAAGGGGAAAAAGAGCGTACTCAGTGCAAAGAGCTCCCGCTCTGTGCGGGGTCTGGGGAAGGGTGTTAGTGGCAATGTTACGGCGCGCCTTGCTGCGGAGAAAGTATGGAGGGGAGAAGGCGAGCCGTGGCTTGGCAGGACGGCGGCGTGACGGCGCCGTGCTGCAGCCGAGGGTTTGGAGGTCGGGATTGACACAGGAAAGGACGATGAACAGTAACGCCCGAGAGCCGGGGGAGATTGAATCTCAATCCCAGGCTAATCCCCCTTGATCTCACGGTTTAGAGCCTTATAGGCCAGATTACAATCCCTAACCAATCTCTCCTAATTCTCCTCCTTAAACTACTGCAAATATCTAACAGACTGCAAATATCTAACAGATTCCCTGAACTTAGCCACTATTACGACTCCTCCTCTCATAGGTCCTACCGACCATAACATCTCTCCCCCCCTTCGAAAAGAGCTCGTCCTCGAGCTGAAATGACGGATGAGCTGCGCGGAAATCATCAACTGGTTCCCATGTAGCTTCTGAAGCTGGCATATCAGCCCACTGGACTAACACGTGCCAGGCTCCGCGCCGAAGACTGGAACGGAGCACACGATCAGGCCGAAGCAGAGGACGACCGTGCCGAAGAGGAGGCAGCGATGGCACCGTCGACGGAGGAGGCCCTCGGAAAGGCTTGAGCACGCCAACATGGAAGACATCATGAATGCGCGCGCCTTGCGGAAGTTGGAGCCGGTATGCCACTTCTCCCACGCGCTCCAGCACTTGGTACGGCCCAGCGTACTTGGGAGCAAGCTTTCCACGCCTGCCCGGAGCGAGGGACTGAGTAGGGCGGTGAAGAAGACGTAGCCACACCCAGTCCCCCACTTGGA